AGAAAATGGTACCTTACATCGATGTGCTTGGTCTTGGAATGCTGTACTGGGTTTGTAGAGATTGCTATGGCACTCTTGGAGTCACAGAGGATTGGGACTTTATCATAATGAAAACCATAATCCTTAAGTTGAGTCTTCATCCAGAGAGTTTGTGAACAACAACTAGCAGCAGCAACATATTCTGCTTCTGCTGTAGATGTTGAGACACAATTTTGTTTTCTAGAGGTCCAACTTACCAGCTTGTCCCACAAGAGTTGACAGTTTCTAGACGTACTCTTTCTGTCAAGCTTGCATCCTACATGATCCGCATCTGTGTAAGCTATTAGATCAAAGTCAGAGTCCTTTGGATACCAGAGACCCAATGAAGGAGTTCCCTTAAGGTATCTAAAGATCCTCTTGACAGCAGAAAGATGCGATTCTTTGGGATTTGCTTGATATCTTGTACAAAGACATGTGGCAAACATAATATCAGGTCTACTAGCGGTTAGGTACAGGAGTGATCCAATCATGACTCTATAGGTTGTGACATCTACAGATTTGCCTGATGGATCAGCAAATAACTTGACTCCTATAGCCATAGGAGTTCTCATCGATGATGAATTAGAGAGAGAGTATTTTTTTCAAAAGATCAGTCACATATTTTGACTGATTTATGAAAATTCCTTCTGGTACTTGTTTTATTTGAAGTCCAAGAAAGAAACTGAGTTCTCCCATCATACTCATCTCAAATTTGCTTTTCATCAACTCTGAGAATTTTTCGCAATGTTTTGTATTTGTAGAGCCAAATATAATGTCGTCTACATATATTTGAACAAGTAAAATATTACCTTTATGCTTCTTGAGAAAGAGAGTTGTATCGATTGTACCTTTTTCGAAGCCATTTTCGATGAGGAAGGTAGATAAAGTGTCATACCAGGCCCTGGGTGCTTGCTTGAGCCCATAAAGAGCTTTATCCAGAAAATAGACATAATTCGGATGCTTTGGATCTTCGAACCCAGGAGGTTGCTGTACGTAAACTTCTTGTAGTTTACCATTGAGGAAGGCAGACTTAACATCCATTTGATAGACTTAAAAACCTTTATGTGTTGCATAGGCTAGAAACATTTTGATGGCTTCAAGTCTTGCAACGGGAGCGAATGTCTCATCGTAGTCAATGCCTTCTTCCTGGCGGTAGCCTTTTGCAACAAGCCTAGCTTTGTGAGGGAACCAACATTGTAAGCGGAATTCCAGTTGGCCATTGAAGATTTTGAAGAAGAAGAGAGAATTTTTGATGAAAAAGAAGATTAAAATATTGAGAGATTTTAAAAGATCGTTTTGATTGGATAATCAATCAATAAGCTCTGATACCAATTGTTGATCCCAGATCTCTCAATAACACTAATAATCTAGTTATGAATAACCAAATTATARTGATTTAATGAAGAAAGTTATGAAGTCTCAAGAATAAAATAAAAAAGTTTAAGAACAATTTTGAGCTTCAAAGGTTTTACTTTATAGATTCAAAAACGTAAAACAAAGAGTAAAAGCCTTATTTTTACTATAGATCTAATCATCTATTTATACTAAACGACTATTAAGAAGATAACTATCTAATGCTACTTTCTAGCAAATCGTCTAGCTAACAKATAGAGTTTATCTTTCTCATGGATAAACATTAATAATAAAATAAACTTGAATTCCAGCTGTTGATTTGTCATCTCCAGCTGTCATTCATGATATGATAATTCCATCATTATCTTCAAATCTTCATTGCATGCTTAGATGAAGTGCTGGAAAATCTTCTAAGTGTTGCTTGTCCAGATGATCGATGAGGATGTTCTTTCTATCGCATCCTTGGATTTGTCCATTGATCCTCTGGTTGAACTTGTCCATTGGTCCAATGGTTGAACTTGTCCATCGGTCCAATGGTTGAACTTGTCCATCGGTCCAATGGTTAAACTATCCATCGATCCAATGGTTGAATTTCAGACTTAGTTGATTCTGCCTTGATGTCTTCATTGGTCTTCTGGTTCTTCATCACTTGTTTTTCATTACTTTTTATATTTTGCATTGTGGGGTTTAACAAAAACAGTTAAAAACTATTAAAAACAGTCAAAGACAGTTGAAACTGATGAAAAACAGTTTACGCGACAGAAAAATAGTTCAATGATTATCAAACAGTTTAAACACAAAAACAGAAACAAATAACAAGTAATCCAAAAAAAATTAAAACACAAAAACTAAAACCAAAAACAAAATATCTCAACAAAACAGCTAGCTAAACCATACAGACATGACGACACAACCTTTGATTTACACTTCAACGATTCAAAGTCTTAAACACAGAGAACTACAGATAACAGATTTATCGATAAGACATAGATGAACTAGAATACAGATAAAGGTTTGTCCCAGGAAAAACAAAACAGCTCATGTCCATAAAGTAAACTCAATACTTCACGAAACATAATTTTTTTATATTCTTGAGATGAAGCAGAGTCAAAACTCCACCAACAGTCTTCTTAGCCTGACCAATCTGCTGAAATTGTAAACAGGTGAGATGATCTGTTGAACAAAAATGCAGATCGAGCAGCTCACTCCTCTTCTAATTCTCGTATCAATGAAACAATTCGGTTGTCTTTATTCAACCAGAAACAACTAAAATTGTTTCACTTCACTCTCTTCAACCTGTAATTTTAGAGCAAAGATTGATTAAGGAGAACAGGAAATTGAATCATAAAATGAATAGCTCCTCCAAGAATAGCAATTCAACTGTGAACGAAGTTGATGATCAGATGCTAAATCCTTCTTGACAACACCAATTTACACAGAATAAATGATGTGATTGTTAGTTCAAAACATTAGTCACAAATCTCACGCTATAGAACTTTTGTGCTTGCTCAGTCTAAAAATAATGGAGATGATAGACAACCTGTTTACAAACACAAACAAGTAAAAAGCAAACAGTCAGCAGTTTAGGTTTCGAAAGCAACTCTTAGAAAAAAAATTCGAGAGAGGTAGCCTGACATACAGTCAAATAAGTCCTTTAATAACAGAATCACACCAAAAATGGATGAGTTTCAACTATCCGTATCAACTGTCAGATTCTTAACCATCCTGTGCCTTTGGTCAACCAAACAGGTCTTGAGCCTTGTAACAGCTAATTCTGCATCATCATCTAAGATCTACAATAACAGAGGAAGGTACAAGCACTTTCAAACCAGGAACAGAGCCATACCATGCACCATAATACTGGAAATGTTGATCACCAACACCAGCAGCAGCAGCAAGGACAGATTGCTACTATCAAGGATATCACTCAGTTCTGCCACCCTCTAATACAGATTGCTACTATCAAGGATATCACTCAATTCTCAAGCAGAAATAGATCTGCTGTCAAGTAGTATCTACAGGAGGCTGCCTACTAGCATTGCAGCATCAAAATCAAGAACCCAGTAGTCTCTCAAACAGATTTACATTAAATCAAAAACTTCCTGTTTATGAACAAGCAGTAGCCATACCACTGAAGCTGATATACATTTATTTCTCTTTTCAAAATCTCAAATAACAGCCAGGTACAATTTAAAACAACAGACTTTTGAGCTATGAAAGGCAAAAACCCAATTTACAAACTATGCGAAATGCCAAGCAATGAAATTACCAACAGTAATAGAAGATAAAAACAGTAATAGTTGCACTCTGGATCCTTCACAAAACTTGAATGCAGCTCAAGTGCAAATAATGAGAAATCAATAGCTACTGTAATGTAAGCTACTGTAATGTTAACCACAAACACAGTCAAAAGCCCGCAAAACAAATCACCTGTGAATACCTTGAAAAACAGATGATGTGCAATAAATGTGCGATGAACCCAAAACAAAACAGGCGATTTACCAGACCCTTTGAAACAAATTAAAATCGATTTAACAGAAGCAACCTTGAAACCTGTATGTACGAATTCGCTCAAGCTGAATTCCTCTAGTGACCAAATTTCGCTCAAATCAGACTTCTCTAAATCGCTAAATCTGAAATCGCTCACCTTAAAGAGATAATTCGCTCATGCTGAATTCCCCTAGTGACCAAATTTCGCACAAGCTGTCTTCAATCAAACAGGCTGTGAGAAAAGAGCTATGCGATGAATGTACGATTAAAATCTGTGAAAAAGATGAAATCGAACAGGGAGAATTCTTCAATTTAGGCCAAGAAAACCAAAATCCTGTGAGCGATGAAGAGACAAATGACTTACCTCATGTTCGAAAGGTATACAGTGAACGATATACACACTGTAATCGATTACCAAGCAAAAACGACTAAGCTTTGTTTGATTAAAAAAATCCGGTCAAAATCCAATCAATTGATGTCCTAAATCGCTCACCTCACAAAAATAAATCGCTCACCTTATGGTTTTAATCGCTCAATATCCGCTCAAAGCATTGATCTAAATCGCTCACCTTAAAGAGATAAATCGCTCATCATGTGACCGAAATCGCTCAAGTCTATCTTTCTTATTGATCGAAAACGCTCAAGTCTATCTTCCTTATTGACCGAATACGCTCAAGTCATGCTACCTTAGTATCCGAATTCGTTCAAGCCTAGCTTCTCTAGTGTCCGAATTCGGTCAAGACGCTCAAGCAGGTTCAAGCTGTCTAAATCGCTCAAATGATCAAGCCCTAGATGAAGATGAACTCTGTGTTAAGCGATGAAGAAGAAATACAAAAATAGGCCAAGTCTAAATCTGATGGGCTGGGCTTAACATGGGCTGAACGATTTAGAAAGAAAAACAATTAAAAAAAACACAAAAACAGAAAAAAAAATTAAAAAAATGGATCAAACACGGAATTTAAAAAAAAAATTAAGAACACAAAAAAAATATTTAAACACCACAAATTTTACCAAATCTTGAAATCGGATGATCAAATCATAAAATCGTGTGAATAACAAAGATTCACAATTCAAATACGTACACTTTGATCACGGTATTAACACCAATACTCAGAATTTTGAATTTTTTTTGGATTAAAATCTTTAAAGAACACAATGAACAAAATAAGAAAAAAAAATCCAGAAAAAAATTCTTAAAAAAACGATGATTTCTTATATGATTTCTTGCATAGTCCTGCTCTAATACCAATTATGAGTCCCTATAATGATCAATCTTCAAGAAACCTTCAAATTATCAATGGCAGATAAGATTTTCTATTAAGAACATGTAGGAGAAGTAGAGAGAAAAAGTCAATCTTTCAAAGTGTGGTCAAACTCATCTATTACGTATACTGAATTTACAATAAGGCTCATACTTACAATTACAAGACTAACACCTTATTTATAGTGTCAAACAATAAAAGTCTAGTCAAAGTCAAACCTTACATACAAAGTCAAACACGATGTCTATTTTAATTATAGACAATAGTAACTTTCAAAACGAATACAGTTTTACACTGACTTTCAGTCCTAACATTTGTTCTTAATAACATCCAGACTATGATTTCCAATAAGAACCTTGATCTTAAAACTTTAAGTCACAAAGAAATAAAGATTCTAGACCAGGGTAATCTTAAATGATATAATAGTAAGAGTTAGATCACATAACACACATACAAATGTTTCCCTTATATCCAAATGCACATCTCTCTTTGATATGCCACCCTTATCCTATGGTACACCTCTCCTTGATATGCCACCCTTATCCCATGGTACACCTCTCCTTTATATGCCACCCTTATTTCCTCATCAAAATATTTCTAAAAACTATTCCATATAGAATAGACCGCAGTCAATGGAATATTATTAGTTCAAAATCACTTTTTATCAAAATTCCCACTTTATGATAAAAATAACAATTTTTATAAATATTAAACAAGTTAAAGTCCAAATCCGGTCAATTTAATCTTGGTCAGACTTCATCTCCGGTCAAGACTTAATCAGTTTGGCAAATCCGGACAACACTTTGTCTTGTCCGTCTTAGATAAAATTTTCAACACTTTGTCCGGATTACTAATCCGGACAATACTATTTATGCCATGACCGATTTAACAATCCGGTCATTCCATAGTCGTATTCCTACTTCTCCGATTTACATAACACAATTTAAAAATCATAAATCGCTCAATTTATAAACTGGTTAACACATTGATCGATTTACCCCTAAACCGGGTGAGACCATGACCGGTTTATGTTTAATCTGATCAACACCCTAGGCAGTTTAACCTTAAACCGCTTATGCCTTATCCGATTTAAACTCAAATCACTTAATCCTTTGTTCGATTTAATTCTAAATCTTTCAATACTCGTCCGGTTTAATTCTAATCCGGACAACACTTAAGCTATTTACATTCAAACTTTAAACTAGGTAAATAGTTTTCAAAATACAATCAATCATGCAATTTCAAAGAGATTCAAAAGCAATTTAACCACTCACCTTGAACACTTTTTGAAAACCAAAATGAATCTTGGTGAAAATGCAATCCGATCAATCCTCTTCAATTTAAATCGCTCAAACAGTCCCACAAATAGCAAGAAGATGAAATAGAGGTTTCAACCTCTTTTTATACCCTTCCCAATCAGGGAAGGCGGCTACACAATCATCATGCATACATATATCATGCATGTTATGTATATATATATATATATATATATGTATATACCCAATACCATATATAACATGCGTACACACGCACACACACACACACACACACATATATATATATATATATATATTATGCATATAATACCTATGCATAAAATATCACATACTGGCATGATCAAGTATATAACTAGTTATCATGCTAACACATATTCATATATCAAATAATCACCTATTAATTATCATAGGTGATAATTAGAATCTGGTTATTACAATATCAAAGCTTGGTTTGGGCTGTGTATTGATGCAAAGAGGAAAAATCATCTCATATGCATCCCGACAATTGAAGGATCGTGAAAAACAATAGCCAACTCACGATATGGAACTAACAGCCGTAATCTTCACATTAAAGATCTAGAGACACTACCTGTTGGGAACTAAATGCCAGATTTATACTAATCACAAGAGCTTGCAACACTTGTTTAATCAGAAGGAAATAAATATAAGATAGCATCGATGGATCGAACTCATTAACGACTATGATTGTGAAATCCTTTATCACCCAGGAAAAGCCAATGTAGTGGCTGATGCCTTGAGCCAAAAAGAAAGAAGTGGAACGATTAAAGCAGTAGCAATGAAGGTTAGCTTAACTCTTGATATTCATCAAGAGATCTTGAAATGTCAGAAAGAGGCTATGAAAGAACAACACATGAAGTCAGAAAAAGTGGGTAAAATGATTTCCATCATGGAGCCAAATAATGAATGGGTTTTTTTTAAGGACGGATATGGGTACCAAGCTATGGGAATACATGGGAAACTGTTCTGAATGAAAGTTAGAAGTGTCGCTACTTAATTCATTCGGGTACCAACAAGATGTACAAGTACTTGAAAGCATACTATTGGTGGCCAGATCTCAAGAAAGATATAGCAAAACATGTGGAACGATGCTTAACCTGTCTGTAAGTTAAGATCGAACACCAAAGGCCGTACGAAAATCTGGAATCTTTGGAAATTCTAATCTGGAAATGGGATCATATTACGATGGACTTTGTTATGAAATTACCCCGACCTACGAAAGGTTATGATGCAATTTGGGTAATAATGGATCGTCTATCAAAGTCTGCACATTTCCTACCGATAAGAGAAACCTTTTCATTAGAAAGGTTGGCCCAAATCTACATCAAAGAAATCATGACCAGACATGGTGTTCCGTTATCCATGATTTCTAAACGGGACAGTTGTTTCACTTCAAATATTTGGGAAAGTTTGCAAAGAGCCTTGGTATCTCAAATTCATTTGAGTACGACTTATCATCCTCAAACAGATGGACAAAGTGAAAGAACCATCCAGATTCTCGAAGACATGTTGAGAACCTATGTTATAGACTTCGGGGGATCATGGGAGGATCACTTATAGTTAATAGAATTTGCCTACAATAACAGTTATCACTCCAGCATCTAAGTAGGATCGTATGAGGTATTGTATGGACAAAAATGCCGAACGATGTTGTGTTGGAATGAGGTAGGGGAAAAGCAACTGGCAGGTCCCAAAATTGTGCAAGTAACATCTGAAAAGATTGAACAGATTCGGGCAAGAATCAAGACAACCCAAGACCGATAGGAAAGTTATGCCGACAAGCGATGGAAACCGATTGAGTTCAATGTGGGCGACTATGTAATGTTAAAAGTATCTCTGTGGAAGGGTGTGATGAGATTTTGGAAGAAAGGTAAGCTCAGTTCGAGGTATATTGGGCCATTCAGAATTTGCAAACGGATTGAGCCGGTAGCTTATCATTTGGAACTACCAGAAGAGCTCTGCCTAATTCACAGTACCTTTCATGTGTCAAACCTACGCAAATGTTTGGCCGATCCAAATCTAGCAATACCACTTCCAGTGATTAAATTGGACAGTAAGCTCAATTTTGTGGAAACCCCAGAAGCAGTAACTGACAGAAAGATCAAAGTATTGAAAAATAAAGAAATCAATCTGGTAAAGGTATCGTGGCGATATCACAAGGGTTCAGAGGCTACATGGGAACTAGAGTCTGATATGAGAACCCGATATCCTTGGCTGTTTGAATAAATGAATTCCGGGATGGAATTCTTTTGAGGAGGAGATAATGTTATAACCGGGTTTCAAACAACACCGGTTGAGGTAACCTTACATGGTTATTATGTGAATTATGTGAAATATGCATGTTTAATTTAGAAATGCGTCGATCATACATGCATATGAATATGATGTTATGCATGCATATGAGAAAATGATATGTGTGTATATGATAATATGCATACATGGGTAATGTGAAAGTGCATGTGCGGCATGCTTATGTGAAATCTATTATTAAATTAGATGGTACCTTTGTGGTTAAGAAAAGTTGATTTTTAAAATATTAACTTCCACCGCCCAAAGGAGTTTTATATAATTAAACCTGCCACCGCCTTTGTGGGAAATATATAAAGAAAGTAAAAAGGATATGATCTTATCTTATCACCTTATTTTTTTAAGAAAGAATCATTTTGAGAGAGAAAGGTGTGTGAGTGTGGTGGTGGAGGCTGTTCTTGAGAAGATTTTAGCACAAAAGCGATTTGAAGAATCTATGTTCCTTTGAAAGGAATTGTTGTGTGTTGAACCTACAAATTTGTGCTTGATAAGGTGAGTTTTGATAACCAAAACCTTTATATATGTTGTTATACAAACTGCTGAGTTTTGAGGTTGGATTTTGAAGAAAAGATGGTAGAACTGTTTTTAACAGTTTGAGACGATATTGTTATAAATTTGATTATTGGAAACTGTTTAGAAAGATAAAAAAGAGGTTGCTTCTTTGAAATAGTTTTGGAATGATATCTTGTTTTGGGGATTTAAAAGAGATTTGGTGTTTGGAAAATTGTTGAAAGAAATAATTGTTCTTGAGTTTCAAGTTTTAATGATAAAAATGTTTTTGAAACCATTATTGGTTGAAAACTATAGAGGATATTTCATCAAGACGGTTGTGACTTTGGTCTGTCTTCGTTTTGGATTGATCTATAGATTTTGTGGACAAAACTTTGGAGGCTGTTTCATCAAGACGGTTGT